ACCCCGCTGCACGATCCCGATGCTGGGATGGATGGCAGATCACAGGATTTCACAGGGTTGATCGGGACGAGGAGAGGCTCCGGCAGGAGAGGGAGAGGTTGGTCGGGATGAGGAGAGGCTCCGGCAGGAGAGGGAGAGGTTGCTCGGGGCGAAGAGAGCCTCCGGCAGGAGAGGGCGAGGTTGATCGGGACGAGGAGAGGCTCCGGCAGGAGAGGGCGATACCACACACGGCACGAGCTTCACTGCATTGGTTCGAGAGCCATTTCGCTGGAGTGCAGAGACTGCCATGCATTCGGCTTCTCACTTTCCCGACCTGTCGACCCCGAACTTGATGCCATGGGGTGACCTCAAGAGCCATGTCAACGGGGACAAGCCAGCGAGCCGTCAAACGCTTGAGGCCACATTCAGACTTAAGACGGGTGCATCAGCGTGAACAACCGACCGGACAATCGACTGCCCGCGGCAGATCCAGCTGTTGCGCATCTTGGACCGCCAGACGGGCGATTTCGGGTACCTTTTGTTTTCACCATTCCACGGGTGTTGAATCACTGATGACTAACGTTTTCGCTGATCGTGTTTTGCAGCTCCATTGGCAGTTCAGCACCACCGCAGTCTCGACTTTGCGAGAAATACACTGGCCTCCGCTAAGGGACACATGGGTGAACTCTTATCGGGCCGTCCTGTGCGTTAAAAGCCTGCCGCATTTTGCAGTTAAATGTTCCTGCTTCCAGTACCGGTGTACTTACGTGAAAGGCCAGTCAAACAATTTTAGACTGGCCTAACAGATGAAGGACGTGGCCTGGCAAAAGTATTCGGTACGTTTAGGATAATAGTTATATAAATGGACATGGTACGAATAGCGATATTTCTACATACCTCGTATACCAACAGTTACGATAATTTGGCTGCATTTGTTTGGTCGAGTATTTCCCCCCTGCTCGTATTCGTTGAGGGATTCAGAAGGGCGTTGGAAGGGGGCTCACGTCAGCGCTGGGAGTTCAAGCCGCCGGAAGTGTACAAAGCGACGCCACTGGTCCGACTATCGCTTCGGTGTCGAGCCGGGCTCCGCTGGTGACAGTCCCGACATCGAGGACCGCCTCACAACCGGCCACCAACCCAGCCCCGTTCGGTACTCGTCTCATCCCAGAGTTCGACGAAACAGCGGCCGTCGTTGCGTGACTGGTGAGAGCACAGGTGCTATGCCACTTAGGGGCGCGGCTGCCGAAGCGGTTCCTCCGCTGTGGCTGTCTGGTGGCGAGTCCGCCGAGATGGTGGAGGGTGGCAAATCGCCTTGACTGTGACGACCCGGCTTGCCAGACCTGAGGCGTGGAGGTGACAGGTGGAGGTGGTGGAGGGCCGTATGGTCGCAGTCGCCGGCGGCCAGCCACAGCTCGCTTGAGGCCACGTGCGAGGTGCTGCACGAGGCGTTCGCCTTCGACTAGTGCGCTACGCACGAGACACTCACGAGGTGTTGGCTCAGGACGAGAGGATCGGCCAGCATGTTCCTGGCCGACTGCGGCGACTAGGGGCGCTCCTGGGCGACTTGAGGTACTCTTCGGTGGCTTAGAACGCTTTTCGGCGGCATCCTCGAGTGGGTGCTGATCTGGGCATACTTGGCGGGACCGCCGAGCGCTGCAGGACAAACCAGCCTGTCGGATTCGTGGCTGAGCATTCGCCTTGGCCAGTGTCTTGGCGTGAGCCTGTGCCATCCTCAGCGACGAATGCGACACGGCGGTAGCCGTGGCGCAGAGACAACAGTCATCGATGCTGCCGGCACAGCCCCTGGCGTCGCGAGGCCCCCCACCTCGTGGACCACGCCGACTGTGATGTAGCTGGGCCTATGGAGGCCCGGGCTGCCTCCCTGCGACGTGTCATCAGCGGTCGGAGAGTGGTGCGGGACAGGACGCGTCAGCGCCGTCACCCTCTCCTGCGCGCCATTGAGCGGTGCTCCGTCCATGATGCGATGCGTCCGTGGCTAGGAATGCCGTGTGCTCATCTACAACGGCAGCTTGGACACAATCGTGCACTCTCTGCTCTGCACGTGCTGGCATCCGTGGAAGAGCAGTGTGGCTGCCTCTAGCGGGAGCTCACTCGACTGACACTGTGTCAGCACTAAGAGCATAGCAGCGCCGATCGGCCAGTGGACCCCGCCTGAAGCGCCGACCGGCCTCTGGGCCTCACCTGAAGCACCGACCGGTCAGGGGACCTCACCGGAAGCGCCGACCGGCCAGGGGACCTCACCGGAAGCGCCGACCGGCCTCTGGGCCTCGCTGGAAGCGCCGACTGGCCAGTGGGCCTCACTTGAATCGCCGGCCGGCCTCTGGGCCTCACTGGAAGCGCCGACCGGCCTCTGGGCCTCGCTGGAGGCGCCGACCGGCCTCTGGGCCTCGCTGGAAGCGCCGACCGGCCTCTGGGCCTCGCTGGAAGCGCCGACCGGCCTCTGGGCCTCGCTGGAGGCGCCGACCGGCCTCTGGGCCTCACTGGAAGCGCCGACCGGCCTCTGGGCCTCGCTGGAGGCGCCGACCGGCCTCTGGGCCTCGCTGGAAGCGCCGACCGGCCTCTGGGCCTCGCTGGAAGCGCCAACCGGTCAGGGGACCTCACTTGAAGCGCCGACCGGCCAGGGGACCTCACCTGAAGCGCCGACCGGCCAGGGGACGGCCAGTGGCCCTCGCCTGAGGGCCTGGATGTGAGCGAGCGGCCGTCGCACGTCCAGAAGTTTCTCGCGTGTCTGGCGTCCCGGTGTTTGTAACTCTTGGTCTTAGATCGCGGCGGTGTGACTGGTGCCATGGGATGAGCGGCGACATGGAGCGCCGAGAGGCCTTGTGTCGTTCATGGCCGTTCAGCAGAGGAGCCCGGCCAAAGCGCGTCAGTGCTGGACCATTGTGAGTTAAACGGGTACGTGACCGCTCGCTCCGCCGGTACCGATCTGATGTGTGTGCAGGTCAGTTGCCTGAGTGATGCCGCCACTGGGCGAACGTCAGTGTCGTCGGCCTTCGTAGGGTTTATCTGCAGTTTCATGTGGATGAACAGCTGTGGTCGTTCCAGACGGTTCCAGACTCGGCTGAGCGCGGTCTGGAGTAAAAGCCGTTGAAGCGGACGGCTGGCGGAGCCCGACTGCTGTGCCTGTGCGCGCTGCGGGGGCGTACTTTCCTGTTCAGTTGTTCAGTTTCCTTCCCTAGATTAAGCTCCACTGCCCCCCTTCCCTCCCCCCCCCCTCCAAGCTTGAAAGTGATCAGATCAAACCCGTTTTGTGCGTTTTGGGGGCTAGGCTGCGTTTCACCGCTCAGACTCCCAAACCCATTTTGCAAGACTGTGCCGCTGCAGTCGGACAGAGGGCAGCTGCGCTGGGTACGTGACAACGCAGTCGGTATTCCGATCTTCCGCGTGTCTCGTCGCGCCGTGTTTGCGTGGTGCAGGCGACTGGCTGCACGCCTGCCTGTGCGCGGATGGCCCCGTCCCGCGCCGGCATGGCTGACGCGTCGCGGGAACGTCATGACGCAGGCCGATGCGAGTCAAACATGACGCAGGAATAAGGTGACGTCATCGGGGACATGTCGCTGCGTGAGAAGACGAACCACATCGCAAGTCACCTTGACGGTGACGACCCGGCTTGCCAGACCTGGCGCGTGGAGGGCGACGGTCAGGCCGTGTGGACCAACGCCAGCTCACTGGCCACTGGGGTCCTCGTGGTGACGCCGGACGGTGACGTCATCGAAGACAGAAGGCGATGTCACCTGGTCGCGACGACTCTGAGCACATTAGCATGGCTGAGTTTGGCGCTGCCCTCCGAGACATGCACCCGGCTGTCGTCTGGGGTACGCGGGCTGTCGACCCCCGCACGGACTCCGCCACCATCCATTGATGGATGCATGATGCTCTGAGCGGTCGAGCGCGTCTCCGCACCCAGGCGCCCGGCGAGATGCTGCTTCGGCGTCCGGTCGACGTCAGCCGGCTGCCTCCCTCGCGCGGGCGGCGGGGAGCGGTGCAGACGCCTTGACACGGGTGTCTGAAGAATTCACAATGACGTAGCGATTTGGGTAGTTTCCGAGCTCGAGGACAGCTGCAGTCCCACCGGCTTCGATGGTGCCGCCGCAACCTACTGGGACCCGCCGCTCTCTGGGGGCGTGCTGTTGTCTCGGGACATGGGGCTAGAGGCTCCGTGGACGGTAATTCGTCGCTGTCATCGCCACCAGAGGCCTCCACAGGGATGGTGTTGTAGTGACATCGTTTGATCCATGTGAGGATCAGGGGAAATGGACTCGTGTGTGCTGGAGGTGCCGTGCCTGGGAACGCCCCCGTAGTGTTCCGTGCCTGGGTGCGTAGCTGGAGCCGGCTTGGACGAGAGGGTCTGGCCCGTGGATGGGGAATGGAAGTGTCGCTGCGCTCCGGGGACGGGCGACGGTGTGTGCGTGCGCCGACATAATTCTGTTGATGACTATTAAACTACAACTAAACTGTCCCAATTCGCAAACCTTTTGTATTCGCTACTTTACTTGACAGTATTAGTTGGTTAACGTCATATCTACCGAATCAAATCGGCAAAATTGGTGGACCAAATTTGCTTCCGGGCTGCAGAGCATTGGGCCGGTGCGGGTAGTAAAAGTCGAGGAGGGGCTCTGCCATGCCGTGACGCATGACGACGAATTCCAAGCCTAGTCACTGATGTCCCGTATACAAGAGCATGGCCTCTACAGCGATGAAGTGGGGCATTCTTGGCTTAAATGGCTTTCTGTGCCCCGATCTGGCCCATCCTTCGCGAAATCCTGGCTACGTCACTGCGTGGATGCTCCACAAAATCGTTCCCATGGTTTCCGAGCTCCAGGACAGCTGCAGAATCGGTGCCAACGCTCCGATGATGTCGACAAGTTCCATTTAGTAGCCGTGCACTTGCGCGTTATGCGCGTCGTAAATGTATCAAACTGGTCATCAATCGACACGTCGTTCAGTATGCAATCATAAGATGCGCCTGCTGCTCCTAGCGGAAAAATACTAGCTCATCAAAAACCAAGTTAATATTCGACAGTTCTCCTTAATTGTAACTTAATATTGGATTTAATATATTAGTTGGAGTACCTTCTAGCTTTTTAGAGTCAACAGTTGAATATCTGTTATGTTATAGGATCAAAAATCTCCTTTTCACCAGGTTCACGGTCTTGTGTTCGCCCATCGAGTGATCACTGGTTACAACTAGACCCAACTCGCTGTGACCACTTTCCGGCTAAAGGGGCGACTGGGTGTCATTATTGGCATACGTGCGAGAGGGAGTCTGAGCCTGGGAGACTTCTGGTTCCTATGGATCTATGGACATTATTCATGGGGTGACCTTGTCAGTAAACTTGCCAGGTTGCCATTCCTCGGGGCGTCGCTGGGGAAGCGCGTGATTGCTTACGTCTCCGAATTAGTTTGGGTGTAAGGCTCAGGCAAAGTTCGAAGTCAAGTAATTAAAATATAGAGACCTTACCAGCATCTGAACGTGGTCGTGTGTATCATTCCTGCACTGTGGTGAGTTATGTGTGTATCTGTGGTGCTGGGTTGATGTCATTATGTAGGTGATATCCATTAATGTGAAGGTAAACAGACCAGTTGGATGTTGAAGAAATTCTTATGAAGTGAATTTGGTCCATACAACATTTTGATGGAGATTCAACAGCTTTAAGGTAATGAGATGTGCAGGGATTGCCTATCTAAAATGCAGTTATCTGTGGATCCAGCACACAGCATCATGCATCCAGTTATTATTAAGCAGGGTTGTACTATCACTAACCATCTTGGCCTCAAAGTACACTAGTTCACTCCCATTGTTTCCACTTTCTGACCTCTCGATTTCAGTGTGAGTGATGCGGTAATATAGTTGATGGTGGCAAGAGTAACTGCAACTATTCTTGTGTAGCAAAACTGATTGTTAATGTATGGGACAGAATGTCTATTTTGTTCATTAGTTAGGTCCACAATTATTTAAGCTTTTGCAGACTGGGTAGTTTTCTTTATTTTTGATTTATTTGTGGACCCCTGATTTTCATGGTTTTGCCTCATCATTTATTTTGTACTTATTGTTATTTATTGATTTAATTTAGTCAGATATGACTAGATAAAATTTGGCAAGTAATGTTTAAAAAATGTTAGTGAAATGTTGATATTATTCCTTAAATAAGCCATGTTTCTTGCTTGCTTTGTTTGCTTATTAGGATATTTTTTCTGATATCATAGTGACTGCTATGCTGCTTATGTCATTTGTGATGATTGTTGTTGGGAGCCATGTTTTGTTTCCTGGTAAGGGATGTGTTTTAAACTCAGACATGGACTAGTGTGGCATATATTAAAAAAAACAGACAAACAACAGCAGTTACTGTAATTGTAATTTGTAACTGTACCATGGCAGTTATAAGTAGCTTATCTATAAAACTATAACCTAGAGGCCTAAGTGTGTGCACTTCACAGATGTTTCATGGCATGGCATAGCTGAAGCCACTTACATGCATTTGAGAAAGTAATTTTGACCACCTCATCCTAGGATTGTGGAAATATAATTTGCAGGTACTGCTCTTGCACATATGCACACATGCTAAATGACTAAACCTTCATATGGTTTTTGTTAGACAGTCTTGCATACTTTACGTACAATCTCACATGCAAGGTCATGTCATAATGGTAAGTTGACACATGCCTGCTATTTGTTGAATGGTGCTATATTATTTACTATTTTATCAAAGCATATAAGCAGCATAGTGGGTAAGAAGTTAGCAACTGAAGCTCACATCCAGGGCCCCTGCACAAATGCCACTTGTGTCAAAGCCCCTGAGGGCTGATTGATCACTACCAGCACTGGCACTCTATGAAAGATCTGTGACAGCATGTTGTGTTTCCTTTTATTTCATAATTCTCAAGTAGTTTTTTCTAAGATGCAATGGTCATAAAAATGATTTGTAAGATGCCACATGTTCTGGGTACCATTATGTAGCATTTCCAAAGAAATTTGGTCTACAGCTGATAAGATGGTTGTTCCTAGGGTTGGTGTGAGCTGTTGTTTCGAACTGCCAAAGGTGGTGCTGACTCATTAGCTGCTGTCAGCATAGCATGCCTGTTACAGGTGTCATGAATGGACATGTTACACATGTTAACTTGTGTTGTGTGATGGTTTCATTTTGAGTCTGATGCTGTCTTGTCTGAGATGTGAATTCTTGACAACATCATTTCTTTTGAATTAAGGATTTCATCAGAAAATTAAGTTAACTGCTGTATTGGTCATTTTTGTCTGCACTGCAGACTTGAAGGCTAGCTTTATGCAGCCTTGTTTCATCTGCACAATATGGCTTATCCTATAGACTCAGAGAGGCTGGATCCTGCCTGGGAACCACACCTTGCCTTCCAGTGCTCATTCCAAATCTTCCACCCTTAGATTTATAAGGACACATTATATGTTGTGTTTGTTTTTGGTTTTTGCTGTGTTAATGTTACCTGCTGCACTTTTATTTGTGATTTGCATGCTCCCTCGCCATGGTGAGCTTTCATGTTACTGGCTCCCCACTAGAAGACAAATTTAAAGGATACTTCATAACATACTGTGTTCTATGCATCATTCTTTGGGTATCAGCAGTTGGTAACATTGGAGGAAAATCACTTCCACCTTAATCTGACAACTCTGGCATGATATGTTTCAATCCCATGATAATGCTTTGAGTGCTTACAATGTCTTGCACTGCCTGTTTCTGGCACATGCTGTGTTGTCTTCATTAATAGATCCAGGTGAAATGTCAGTTGGCACTCCAGTACTGTGTATGCTTTTTTCTTCAGGCTCCCAGTCCCATATGGAAATTTTGAACCACTGGCTGGTCTGTGCAACATAACATAATGCACAGCATGTTTTTATCTGTAGATTTGTACCTTTACTTGCATGCCACCTCAGCCTCCAAGTGCTCATTTTCTGATGCAGAGTTAGTGATGTTTTCTGTGGATTTATTTAGTATAAATGTGAATATATTTTCATCTTCACTATGCTTATGTGGATGGTCACACTATTTATAGTTTGTTGTATGAATGCTGACCATGCATCTAAGCAGTGTACAATGTGGAATTGTTTTGTCCCAGCCTACAAGTGAAATTGCATGGTTTTTACTTCCTTGGCATGCAGTGGCCCAGCACTAGCAACAAATCTCATTGCCAAGGAACCACAATGTCTCAGGTGAAAGTCAGACCAAGCTTGACCCAACTTGGGCCTTCTTATTGGACCTAGCATGTCTTGGACATGCATTAGTCGAGTTTCACATTGTTTCGTTTTTCAGGGGCATGCAAAGATGATGGACAACATGGAAGATGAGCCTGTAAATGCGCCGGGAGCGTTATCTAAGTTCTTCAGGAGGATTGGACAGGTGACAAGGCTGCAACCAAATGCTATTATTCATCATAACTGCAGTCAGTTGTAGTCAGACAGGCTTGTGACAAACTGTCCTGCTGTTGCACGTTTGCTGTCGTGATTCACACTTCCCCATGTCGTTTAAGCCTCTCAGCAGTATGGCTTCTTTTCCTCTGCTGCCATGCCCCAGGGGGAGGCACAATAGCATTTGTCATTGGTTATCCCTGGGCTGGAATCCCATAGGGGACAGCTTGCCTTCCCGTGGACCACGTGAACAGCATGTAGATGACGGTGGGTCGGAGAAGGTAAATCTGACAGTATGGCTGCTTCACGAAAGAGCTGCTGCTGCAGCTCTTTCGTGAAGGGGATGTCTCCATTGTCGTGTCAGCCAATGTGTCAGAGGCGAAATTATCTGGTGGTTTTGGGTGACGCGATCTGGTTGGTGCGTTCAGAACGTATGCACTGTGGTTTGCTAAGTGTGCATGCTGAACTTTGTATCACCCATTGAAAGCCATCGGAACGAATTCCTTAAAAAGTCAAATGCTCACCACTGCTAAACATAGCAGGTTTTCAGGGACCCCTGGAGACACCTCGGGCGAGCCACGACTTGGCACATTCATATTGGTCAGGCACGGTGGAATCGTCGGGACTGATGGGGGTCTGTGCGGGCTAGGGGGGAGGGAAGGGAGGCAGTCAAGCTCTCGGCGCGTCTCGTTTCATGTAGTGGCTCACAACTTGCGTCAAATTTCTAAATTCGGGGGAGGGGGAGGGCTCAAGAAGCAGAAACCGGCGCCCACCTTGCACTTCGCACTGCCTACCGCCGCATTTTGTCGCGTTGCGCGCGGTGTGCATTGAAATGTCTACCGACGGTGTTTTGCGCGGCGCCGAGTGTGCACCAAGTGAGGAGCATCGGCGTCACCAGGCTGCGTGGGATCGACGGAGCCCTCCGTCCGCCCGCGCTGTGCCTTCTGGCGTCGCGACCTGCCCTGTCTGTAGGCGGGTGACAGCGGCTTCAGGTGCCGTCGGAGGCCGGACCGCCGGCGGGCCGCGCATCAGCTCGCTGCCGTCGCCCAGCGCTGTCGGCCACTGCGGCCGGCAGCACCGCGGACCGCCGACGACGAAATCAGCTGGCGCCGTTATCGGGGCTCTGGCGGTGCGATCTGAAAGCTGGGTTGAGCGCGCCACTATAGCGCACAGGATCCCCACGTACGCTGTTATGACCTGCAGGAGTATCACTTGGAGCTTTGTGGGCTTCGTACAGCGGTAGTGAAGGTGTAATATTTCCAGGCTTGGAGTCATGGCCAAAAGGCACGAAGGTACTTGTCAAGATGCGGGACTGGGCTGTGAAGGATACGGAACGTCTTGCTCTGTACTGAGACCATGGCAGTGGGAGCGCAGAGAGCGGCACCCCAATGCCGCGGTTTAAGAATGCGCCAGTGTTGCGTTGATAATTGCCATCTCCGCTTATGCAGCTCCGCTGGCAGGGCGTATCACACCCGACCAATTTGTGGTTGCGAGCCCGGACATAAGCCCAAAGACCCAAGGGTTTGTAATTCAGACCATTGGCGTCCAAGGTCCACGCGACAAGGTTTACATTGATTGCGACTCGCAACGGGCGAGGTTTTTGGCGGATGATGGTCGTAACGATGGGAAGGTACACACCGCTTGGAAGTGTCTATCAGCTATGTGTCGATGTGCCAGAAACCGCGCCCATGCGGCGGCTGTGATAGTAATTTGGCAGCCGGCCAAATGAGTCAGACTGAGCAAGGGTGGCCGCGTTACAACAGTGGGGGCTCGTTTAAACCTATTGGCAAGCATTTTCATTTAACTGGAATTGCTCGATGGGGGCTGGGAGACAAGGTATTCCCAGAGAGCTATTCTCAGCTAGGTGTCTGACCTTAAAGCCCTGCCTGATAAATATTCAGTCGAATTTAGAAAGTGCTATGTTGCGCTTAACGTTGAGAGAATTGCCTTACGCGTAAGACGCAAATCATGAAACCAAAGCAATGAACCCCGAGACAAACCGCAGTGTCGGAACTTGTTTAAGTAAACTTTCTGGGGCATTGAGATGGTGCCGGAGATATTGTACGTAGACAATATTGTGTTACGAATGGAATGACCGCGTGGTTCCTGCCGGCTCACGAACAGAGGCATGGCCGGAAATAAGACTCAGAAAATCATCAGCTCCACGCTATTTTCTACGGCTATGTTCCAGCGGCGGGACAAGTTCAGACGGCAACAGGCGCGGGCCACCCTGTGCGGCCGACCTGGGCGCGTGCTACCTTCGCCCTGACGGGCTGCCCACTGTCGCCAGACGTACCAGCTACTGCTGGACCGGTGGACGCCGCACACCATAGCTCGCTGGGTCTTCACCGTCGTGCTGCTCGTCTCGTTCGGGGTCCGCATTGTCCTTGCCCAGGTGAGCCGCGGGCGCCCGCTGGTGCTGGCCGCCCAGGTGAGCCGCCGGCGCTCGCTGATGTTGGCCGCCCAGGTGAGCCGCCGGCGCTCGCTGATGCTGGCCGCCCAGGTGAGCCGCTGGCGCTCGCTGATGCTGGCCTCCCAGGTGAGCCGCCGGCGCTCGCTGATGCTGGCCGCCCAGGTGAGCCGTCGGCGCTCGCTAATGCTGGCCGATCCAGGGGTGTGGAGGGAGGCGGCGACACGAGGCCGTGGCCGAGACGGAGACTGGCATTTGATTGGGAAGTGCAGGCTGCACGAGACGTGTAACAACCTCGTGGGTGAAGGTCCGCTTTTATCGGCAGCGTTTGCTATGAACCTGTGGCAGTCGGTTGAGATAGCAGCATTTTGTAGTGCACCGGCATTGGATGATGTGTTCGAAGTGCACAATTCGCATCTAGAGTTGTTTTGTTCCAGGGATGGTATATAGTGACATATGCATTAGCAATATACCACCTGAACCTGCTCATCGCATTCCTGACGCCGAAGCTGGATCCCAGCTTAGAGATGGGCTTCGAAGGTTAGTGAAGGTCCCCTGGTGTGTGGTACATGTGTGTGTGTCGTGTGTGCGTCAATAGGACGGAACACTTCTATCGGTAGTAGTCTCAGTTACGACTCACACGCCTAGCGCTTTGTGTTTGTCTGCTGATGTGTGTGCCTGAGAGCTAACTCATGATTCGGTTTGGGTTGATTGTATTTGACCGAGCTCGTGACGTTGGCTGTTGCCGATGCTGCAGTCAGTGAACGGTGTGGCGCTCGAGCGGGCGGCGCGGTTCCATGTGTTGACGCTGGCCTGGCGCGGATCGCAGACGGGGACGAGCCCGGATTGCCGACGCGCTCCAACGAAGAGTTTCGTCCGTTCATTCGCCGCCTGCCGGAGTTCAAGTTCTGGTACAGCGTCACTAAGGCCACCGTCATCGCCTTCGGCTGCACCTTCTTCGAGGTCTTCAACATCCCCGTGTTCTGGCCCATCCTTGTCATGTACTTCATCACGCTGTTCTGCATCACAATGAAGCGGCAAATTAAGGTGAGATCGCAGCGAGACTTGGCTGTTGAGGTCTGCTGCGTTTTTAAAAGGGCGTGCTTTTGCTAGTGACGGATTGTGCATTTTTAATATTATTGCAGCATCATCGCAAGTAACACCGAACCTAAGATACATGTTTTTCATAGGTTGTGCAGCAGTACGAAACTGCATGATGTTCCGATCGATGCATGCTCTGTTTTGCGGCTTTGGGCCCTTTTGAATGGTTGGCTTCGGCCTTGTACAATTTTTGGCAGCTAGCTTCGGTTTCAGGTGGTTTTCGGGTGATGGCTCCGGCTTGGACCTTGTGCCATTTTGACCCGCCAGTTCTTTCTTTCGTGGTGCTTTTTTTTGTGCAGCTGCGCCTTTACTATGCTACAATAGTTTTGCCCGCTTTTGTACCGCAGGATGTCACACAACTTTCCACGGCTGTGACGCACGCATGGCTTAAATCCGAAACATTCCAGTAACACCTAACGACACCCGAGGAAGTAGCAGCCCGACACGTCCGGACAGACCTAGAAACATTCCCAGGCCGAACTAACACCTAACGACACCCGAGGAACTAGCAGCCCGACACGTCCTGACAGACCTAGAAACATTCCCAGGCCGAACTAACACCTAACGACACTCTAGGAACTAGCAGCCCGACATGTCCTGACAGACCTAGAAACATTCCCAGGCCGAACTAACACCTGACATCACCCGAGGAACTAGCAGCCCGACACGTCCTGACAGACCCAGAAACATTCCCAGGCCGAACTAACACCTAACGACACCCGAGGAACTAGCAGCCCGACACGCCCTGACAGACCTACAAGATATAGACGGTCGTCCGTAAAAGGCCTTTCATCAGCAATGCTAGCACCTCGTGTTCGTTTCAGTCACTCATCAAAGCCCGAATGGTTTTCTCATCCCGTGCAATTTTAGCAGACACGCAATGGTTTCGGTTTTGTTAAACAGCGTTGCACACTAGAAGCGGCTTCGATCTCCTGCTGAAGTCTCGCGATTTTCAGCAGATTTGATAAATCTTAAGCCGAAATTGTGCCCGGTGTCCGCCCCTGGCTGTGTCCGGCGGGGGGCAGGAGATCCGTTGTGTGCGGCACCCCTCGCGTCCGCCTCCCTTGGCGCGCATGTGTCCCGTCCTGCACGTGGCCCGTCACGTGTCGTATTCAGGCTGTGTGCGCGCGGGTCCGGCTTGGGAGCATGTGGGTGCGCAGCGTCCGATGTGTATCCTCTTCACATTGTACCGTCCGGCAGCACGTGGGTGCGCCGCGTCCGATGTGTGTCCTCTTGACTTTGTGCCGCCCGGCAGCACATGATCCGGTACCGGTACCTGCCCTTCACCTGGGGCAAGCCCAAGTACGCGGGCAGCAACGGCGCCACCGCCATGTGATCATCCCGGGAGTCCACCCCAGGTGGGGCAGCGACTCGTGCCGCGGCGCCGGCGGCCGGGAGGCTGACCTGCGGCTGGAACCGTGTGGAGACGGTGACGTGACGCGGGGAGACAGGCCCGTGCGAATGAGGGCGGCGGGTGCGAGGCCCGGCGACACCGGGAGCCGACCAGTGCAATGATTGGCGTGCACAGTGTTGGCGCGGGTGCGACAGATGAGCGGCGTTCGTCCGCTCTGGCTTATTGCGCTTTGTTTAATTCCCCGATCACGTGTAGCGCGGCTCACATAACTCGGTTTGCAAGTGGTCGACACGGTGTTGTGGATGTAGTGTGTTATGTACTGTTTATTTATCCCAAAGAATAAATCACGAACGACTCGTCGATGGTCTGCGACGGCCGCCGGCGGCCGGTGGAAGTTGGACGGCGCCGCGGCGGCGCACGCGGCCGAATGTGAACGACACAGGCCCTTGCGCCCGCTGCCTGTCGCACGTGATGCTCCCACTGCCTTGTTCTGTCCGCGAGCTGCGCCCGCCTCCGTGGAGGACGGCTCGGCCCAGATCTGCCGTCCTGCCGTACCGGGATAACCACACCGCCTCGCAGGCGGACAGGCCAGCCTTCGCCCGCCAGTGGCGATCGACCTACGAGTCCCGACCGCCCACCGGCCGGGCCTGATTCCGTCACTGTCCCTCGCAGTCCGGGCCTGATTCCGTCACTGTCCCTCGCAGTCCGGTCCCAACCCGTCACTGTGCGGCAGGCTGCTGACCGTAGCCCGGCGGCGGCTGCGAGCCGGCCTGCTGCAGCGCGCCCGGCGGCGCCTGGTACGGCGGCGGGGGCGGCGGTGGCGGCGGCGCCTGCAGCGGCCCCTGTCGCGCCGCATGGCCGCGCTTGCCGTCCAGCTTGGCCGCCTCGTTGCGCGCGTGCTGCAGTCGATGCCAGGCCATGTGCAGCACCTTGCCCGACGCGTAGCTGCTGCCTTCATGCGGCTGGCCGGTGGAGACCTGCGTCAGGTAGCTGATCTGCCGCGTCAGCTCCGTCTCGACGCCGTTCAGCGCCTTCAGGAACTGGGCCGAGTGGTTCTCCACCTGTTTGATGCTGGCCTTGTCCTTGGCCAGCTCCTGCAGCACGTTTGCGGCCGTTTGCAACACGCCGGCGATGTCGCCCTCGATCCGCTCCAGCACCTGTAGCCTGTCTGTGGGGGCCGCCATCCTGCGGCACGGGCAGCTGAAACACGGACGGTGGCATCAGCGGCCAATCGCGGTTGGGCTGCGTTTCGACGACGGGCCTCTGTGTCTCTAGGATGGGATTGTGTTGCTGGGGTGGGTCTCCGCCTCTGGAGCGGGGCTCCGTGCCTCTGGAGCGGGGCTCTCTCTGGGGTGGGGCCCTGTACGTCTGGGGCAGCGCTTTCCGTCCCGCCGATGCCCCTAGCGCTCGACTGCTTACTCCCTCCTCAATATTGGACCTGTCTCCGAGACGTCAGAAAACGTTTGAAAACATGTGACATTTGTCATCGCAAAATTGTTATTGGCGTCCGGCCAGCCACATCAGAAGTGTTGGTTGGTACGCAGCACGCTGTCCTCTTGGTTACTTCTAAAGTGGCACGTTGGACAGCAGCACCGGTGGAGCTCACAGAGAAAAAGTCGGAGTTCCAAAGCTGATGAAACAAGCATATTGTTGAAACGCGTGGAATGTCGAAATACGTTTTCACTGGTGTAGCAACAATTGTTTTTTGTTAGCCTGACAGCCCTTTATCTGACAGTCCCGTCTGAGACCGCAAGTCTCTGGGGGGTTTCTGTAGCTTTCTAAGCTCTAACCTCGACACGATTTCCGGTGTTATCGTCCAAGCTTAACCTCGATACGATTTTCCGATATTACGCATCACAAACGTATTACTTCCTGAGCTTTCACTTTGAAGGGATTTTCCGGTATTATGCATCATGAACTGTGGTGTTACAAACGTGTCAATGGTTTTGCTTCTTTCAGGATCCCACGGATAATGGCTCAATTACAGGGGCAACAAGAAGTCTGGAGCGTGGAACACCTAACGGTTCTGTTGGCGTCCGCAGAAGTTATCAATGCACGGTGGACAAGGCCCGGCATCTGTCGATAATTATTTAGACTTTAGGGTCTGCCGACTACTCGTCACCTTGCACCCAGAGCCTCTGCGACATAGGACATGCCACATATTCGACCTCAAATCAATGAACCATTCAGGAGCATTTCGAGAGGACTGGTCTTATTGATAAAATTGTGCTCACCTGGTATAACAAGTGAAAATTGCAAGAATGCAGGAATGCCCCCTTTAAGCACATTGACCTCAGATCATTGATGCCTGAAAATTAGGAAATCACAAGCCATAATTATCTCCAGAATGATAAGCTGGATTTTCAAAGACCAACTTCAGCCAACTACTCAACTCCACTGTCACAGCTGCTGGCACAAAGACAACAGTGCACCTGTATATGTATTTATACAAAACATCAGTTCATTAAAAAACCTCACTGCATAAAACATGACATCCAGCCAAATTTCTAAAAACACAGAGGATGTGGCTATCCACTTGATATTCACAACGTATGGTCAGTCAATCACTGGCAACCTCAATAACTGAATTGCATCACAGCAACATCCCTATGCAGGTTGTCAAACAATCAGAGCCCAGCCACATGTGCTTTAGTCAGTCACTTCAGCAGCCCAGAGGTAAGACATCACCAGCACTTCAGCACTGATATCTTTAGTCAGTCACTTCGGCAGCCCAGAGGTAAGACATCACCAGCACTTCAGCACTGATATCTTTAGTCAGTCACTTCAGCAGCCCAGAGGTAAGACATCACCAGCACTCCAACACTGATATCAACAACCTTGCAATGAATTACTTAAATGACACAAAAACATATGCAGCTTAAAAGAATGGTAGTGGTCAAATGAGCAAACACTCCATAAAAGAACTGCCAATCACCACAAACTATTTCCAGAGCACATCATTTCCTTGCAAAGGTGGCATCCCTCAGGATGTCTGCCAGCAGCTCCTTGTCCTGCATGGCACACACCAGTTCCTGCTCATCCAGCATCAGAGAGAGCTTGCTGAGCCTAGATTCCCTGTTGTTCTTGATGGCGATTATGCCTCTTGCCTGCACCATCTCCATCACACTGCAGAATTCTGACTGGGTGACAGGCACCACGTGGCGTCCCCTGCACACCCGGCTGTAGATCTCATGCAGCTTGCCCATGGGGGCTTCTTTGCTCCATCCATGTTTCATCAACAGCAGTAGAGAGCACAAAGCCAGCTTCTGGTGGATGGGAAAGCTGTCTGCAACACCACTCTGGCACTGCTGAACAACCACATTTTCATACACCTCATTGAAAACCTGCAGTATCACTGCTGGGCCTACTACGCCAGAGGTTGTCTTTCTGGGTGAGTTCACATCAACGTTTTCATCCAAATTTATCAGCAGCTGACGTCTCACCTTCCTCTCCACCACTTCCACAGCTCTGCGGCACACAGCAAGAGCCTTGCGGGCATCACCAGCAACAGCAGCCACTTTTCCAGCCAGCAGGTGGACAGCTGCTGGGGCAATGACCTCCTCACTTCCTTCCACCATGTCCAGCCTAGAGTAAATGATCTGAGCAATGTCCTGTTTGCTGTATGATGGAAAGTGCAGCAGAGTAGGCTTCATTTGTACATGAGCAGTCAGACGTGGTAAAAGCCTGTCAGTCAGGTCCAAAGCATTTGCAATGCCTATGAGCACTAGCCTTGAGTTTTTCAGCATTGGCCACTCAAATATAGTGTACAAAATGTTTTGGTTCTTGCCCTCTAAGTGGTCAATCTCATCCAGAACAACCAGGATCATTTCACCACTGCTGGTTAGCTTTTTCTCCAGGGTCTTCACAGCATCTCGTTCCTTTGTGTTTCCTCTCTTCCCAGAGATCTTGGAAACAAGGTGGCTATAAATGGCACCAGTTGACTTCAGGGACATGCAGTTTACCCAAACCTGTTGAATGTCTTCAATTTCTGGGTCTGCCAGCACCTTCTGAAGACATGCAGTTTTCCCTGTGCCTGGTGCTCCTGAAATGTACATGCTCCCAGCACAAGACTGTGACAGACACTCACTGATGAACTCCTTGATGTCATTTGTCTGCCTCTGGCGACATGACAAGTGTTCTGGCACTGATGTGTGCAGAACTTCGCACACAGCCTTATGTCGAGAAGTGTTGACAGCTGCCACACCAAGTTTTCTTCCTTTGCATGTCACAGCCTTTTTTCCCGGTGATAGACGAACTGGTGAAAGACCCAGGGGCGACGACGGTATAGACCTTGACAGTCTCTTCTTCGGGGTCAGCTGTAGGGGTGACAATGTGAGCCTCCCGGGCGACTTCTGAGGCGACTTGGGCGCCGGCTGCCGCCGTGACTTTCGAGTACTTAGTGTCAGCATCACAGAATAAAACAACTTCTCTTCCACGAAAGCTCACAATAAAATGCAAACGCAACGGTCTTCAATCAAAAGCAAGCGAAAAGTAACAACCCATTCGAGACTCGCACGCAATCGCGCGCCACCGGCGTCCCCACAGCTGATCAAAGAATGGCGCGCCCATTTACCGCCAAGCGGCGTTCCCAATAGAGATGGACAAGGACAGCGGGTGAAACGGCGACGAAGCATTCCCTAAGTAAGCTCCATACAGTAAGAACCAGAATGCTTCAGATAATTTTAGCTTTTACATGTTCAGTCCATTTCATTTGATTATCATATATGAGCTTGGACAAACAGTTTTCGTAACGCTGAATAGCATTGCCCACCACTAAATTAAAACCCAGTCGCCGGCTGAGCTTCCATATCACTTTACACTACACTCATACACCCCAGTCATGCATACTACCACTAACCACGCGTTAGAAACTGATGGAAGGTGAAACTCGTGGGCGCGCACGTCGAATCGCTAATGGACTGGGTTGGTTAGATTACGTGGGAAAATTATTACACATTAGGAAGAAGGGGCTTCCACAAAAGCTTGGTAAGTAGCAGATATATGGGAAGAGGTAACAGCACTCATGCTTTGTTAGGGTATCTGCCCATATTCACGCATTGCACTCGAAATTAGAAGAAAATAATGAACCCACATTTAAAACGTCCTCAGGTGTCATCTTCGTATCCACAGCGAAAACCTTGCGACAAATACTTGGGTGAAAGGTGGGCAAAAATAATTATGAATGGATAGCTGGTGGATGTATGGTTACAATGCCATTGGTAACATATGGATCAATGCAAGAAAGGTTTGCCTATGAGCTATGGAGGTCTCCATTGCATATGAAATAGTAGGTGATTAGAGCAGCCCCCACAGCAGACAGATTGATAATAATATGAAGGGTCATTTGGGTTGACTTTGCCCTAATGTTGGCCTGGGCTCTCCCAACATTTTTAGCTGAAATATTACAACAACTAAGGCAAAAGTTCACCATCACAAAAACTATCTTGTTTGATCTTCCTGGGTAGTGGAGTCACTACAGAGGGTGCAAAAGGGCAGCTTGAACCCCTTATCTCAAAGAGTTCCTCAAATGAGAGATAACCTTAGATGTAGGGTTAAACCATGCATGCTTTTTTGTTCACCAAACATAAGCCAAGAAGCTTTTCTCTAACCAACCCAAACATGAGGTCTACACCGATGATTCACCTGGTGAAGACCCTTTTATGCCAAGTGATATCTGGTGCCCTAACCATGGCTGGCTACGGCCTGGTTTTGCATTGGTTTACTTAAACTTGTGACCTGAATTGCTTTGTTTTAAAGGTCATGTGAAAATGAAATCCGGTAACATGTATTTTTTCGCTCAACATCTGCAGCTCATGTCCTAAGTCTAGTTCAGCTACAGAATGAGACAATACAGAAAATCAAAAACTCCTGTGACAGATTTCAAATCGGTTTCCATGCTGAATATAATTTTTTGCTACCACTCCAAACCCACCATCCCATTGTTGCAATATATGTTCAACAGACTTTTGCCTTGGTCCATTATCCAATTAGCACGAAAGAACGTTCACCGTAACATTCGCCTGCACAACTGTCGGCCGCGCAGTAACGAGATTATCACCATCAAGCCAACGGAGTCATATACAAACACTTATTTTGTAAGGTATGCCCGTTACGACGTGTACAGTCACATCACGAGTGAGATCAGTCCAACTTCAATGCTCTACTGAAGTTGAGCTTCCACCACAGACTGGCATGTGTGCGCAGCAATACCCGAGAGAAAAAGGAGAAAGGAAAAATGTAAGAGGAAGGCAGTGTCTGTAAACTGTCCCCTCACTAACCCTTTTTTCAAGAGATATTACCTGTGGCCTGGAAAGCAGTAATGCATAGTTAAACTAGTTGAACTTTGCTTAATGCATGATACTATTTGTTCGAAGAGCGACTTGTTTCTCACATCCCTTACACTTCTTGGGGCAATCTTGAGGGGAAATGTTAAGGTTCATCTGGAATCCAGTGGCCAATGTCTTTTGATCCTTTCAGCAGTGTTCATTTTGCCAACGCAATGATTCAGGATTAAGTCAAGCTTTCAGACTGGAAAAGAAAAAGTATTGGCATGTATGGTAAATAATGATACCATTTAATGATGTGCAAGCTTACACATCAAAATTTAACTTGTTTTGTAGGCTGGTGATTTATCACTTTGTTATGCTGATAAAAAACTAGACCATGTGAAATCAAGAAGGCTTTCATGATATGAAATGCATCTATTCAATGCACAACAATATGATAACAATCATGCATGTGGCAGTCTTATCAATCACACACATTTTCTGCACTACAGCTACAACAAACTCATCCTTACCATTATTTTTCAGTGCATTTTCTTGTACCTTAAGTACAGTAGTTTTCTTTTCTTCAGCCCCATAAAGTATTTGCCATTGTAAACTGCTTATTGAGTGGTTGAATATGATGAAGCATTGCTAGGTATTGGTGATCATGGGCATGCTGTTGATTACAATTGTTGATGTTGTGTCAAGGTGAAATTGACAAATGTGGTATGATGCCAAATTCAGCCAAAACTTTCATACTCCTCTTGTGTACCATGCACAAATCATAACTTAAATAAAGCAACACTTTACACAGGGGTGCAATGCCCTAAATCCAAGGATAGAAAATGAGAATTGCAGTATGTTGCATAGTTGTGCTGAATTGCTTTGCACCAAACCCAGTAACTTTCTTTCTTTTGTCTCATTTCATGCTGCTGGATGTTTACCATCCCAGGACACAAATCATATATGTTTGTTGAATGCGTCTTGCTCTCTTGTGTATCTTGTTTAATGTGTCTACACAACATGGACAAATTTGTTCTACATAACCACAGACAAGCTGAGAATCAATCCCAACAAATTGTTCCATTGTGACATGGGGTGGCACAGTAATCCAGAACCCTTAAAGCTTAAAGGCTATTGCAGTGGGCTCTTAACACCACAAAACATCACAGTGTGTGTGATGAATGGAATAGCCAGCTCACTGATGTCAAGAGAGCTGCCAGCACAAAACATTCAAACAGTGCTTGGACAAGTACTAAACACATAGAATCTACTGGTCCAGGTTGAGACAACCACAGGACAAATTTTGGTGACAGTTTGTGGCATAAAGGTAGCTGTTATGACTTCCTTTCAATGTTGTTGGAGGCCACTGAAGAACTATCAGCAGCGCACCTCCATGAGCAGCACTGATTGGGATACTCCAAGTTCTTGCAGATGTTTCCTCCCCCTTCCTATGCACACAAAATACCATAGTAGTCAGTGTGGCCTTAGCAAATAACAAAGAGAGTAGAAGGACCTTTTCTCCCAGAATGTTCCATTTAACTTTTGTCTTATTGGAAAGCATACATCAAATCCTGGAAAGTGCCATGTATCTTTGGCATGCAGACACACAATTCTTTTACAGGCCAAGTGCTTAAAGTTGAAGGTTGCAGTTTCAAAGCTTGTTTTGATTTCAACCCACACTGTGGCATAACGGCAGCCGTTATGACTTCCTTTCAATGTTAGGTTGGGTAAGGTAGTAACTGAGATGGTTAGGCTCACAGGCATTAGTCTGTGAATTTCCTTTTTTGACCTCTTTGTGCTGAGGCTGCACTGAGACAATAATCATGAGGCTCCTTGTTGCATTTTTATAATAAAACCATACATTCCATTTTGAAACAACAAATGCATTCACATTATAACTTTCAAGCAATAATGTGACTAGCATGCAATAATGTCCCTGATGTTGGACGATAAAAGTGCAATATGTGATAATTATAGTGCCATGATATGTTCTCAATGTCCTGCCCAAGAAATCAGGTATTTCACTGATATTTTGCTGATGTAAGTGACAATGAATGATGAAGTTGCCTGAGAGTAAACCTGTTAATAGGTTGGCATGTAGCATTTGTATGATCCTATGCATAGTATGGCAGTAGGCACCCAAATGATCAGAGAAGCAATGCCTTGGCCTGATATGTCCAATCAAGGGGTGCATGACTACATACTACAGATTGCATTGTACACCAAGAGTTGGGGTGATCATATGTGTATAGGTGATCTATACCTTTTGGGCTGTAAAGATCACCTAGGTACAAAGGAAACCACCAGCAAACTATATTTATCCTGAGAACATGTCTGATAATCAAACAGGGAATGCCTAACAATAATGACATGGTTTTCTTGTTCATTGGTGTTTTCATGCACATTGGCTGCAATGGTCATTTTGCACCCACAACAATGATATGGAACAGTGGGCACAGGGCGCATTACTTAACTGTACATTTATCATCAGAGGTATCTATTAAGTGCTTAGCTGCTACTTGCAATTACCCACAAGACCAAAGAAAATGAATGCATCCTGACACACTCCTGAAACTTGACCAGCAAATGCCCCAAAACAATGGTATGAAATCAAACATGCCAATAGTTTGCACTGCTAGAGCACTTTGGCCTGAAATTCAACTGTAAGATCATAAGTTCTTCCACCAATGGCTATCTATGTGCTTAAATTAGTGGTGATATAGTGCTGCACTCTGAGCACCCTGATTCATCAGACATGCTTTGAAATTATTGCTCTAATGTTGCTGCTGAGCTGAACGTGTTCAGCACAGCACACATTTTTGCAGCCTGAACTGACGGTTTCTGCTTATCCAAGAGCCACATTTTCGACTGCAACCATAGACATTTCAGGATGGGTCAATCCCATGACCAGACATCGCATAACAGGCTGGGAAATATAGCTCCATCTAAGGGCAACCCATCACGCATTTCACTCAGCGACCTCAGAGTGCTAATGGTCCCTTGTCAAAACCCCTCCCTTCACGTGGCTAGCTCTTATGTTACGAAAATGAGTGGTGGTTCTTAGTAGCACCAAAAAAATACGAGAAAACCATACCTCTCCAAGACGTAGCACGCAACACAGCTCAGCACAAGCGACACGGTTTGGATGGTCCTGCGTCGGAACCTAAACCAATGCGCCAGATTTGAGGGAAATATTGCTACCATATTCTATTATTCGTCTACTACTACTACTATCTACCACAGGAGAGCGATACTACCGCCTCAAGCGATCACGCCGAGAATAGCGGGTGTGGGGGAGAGGAAGGGAGTGTGTGTGTGGGGGGGGGGGGGGGGAGCAGCTGAGGGCCCAGCGACCCGACGGCCTCATGTCAACCTCTCCCATTTTTTCGAGCACATGTCTGTGGAGTAGGCGATTTATTCAGCGACAAGTTCCAGTTGCTCTGAAAAGGCATCAAGACGAATTTTGGTACGAGATCATTGCAAATGACTTTTATTTTGCGATAAAACGTGATCTTTACGGTCAAAAGCAAGGTCAATGGGCGGTGAACTATCACCCAAGAATTACCGGCGGATGTCAAGCTTTCAGGCTTCAGAGAAATCGGACTTCGTTGCTGAATAAATATCTAAATAAATCGCTAACTTTATGGACATCGTGCATGTCCGCAGTTGAAGACCATTTGGTGAAGTTCATAGCCCTGTCCTTAGTATCTAAATCCTTTTAGATTTTGAGCTACACGACAAAGGTCATTACGGTGTGTGAGCGATTCATATTGCCGGCCGAAAGTGCCCCCACAATGACATCGTGAGCACATGTTCGCACCTGCTTTGCGCGACTAAGCATATTCTAACTTCGACGCCGTAACTCTGTCAATCGACGCTGCGGCCGTTCATTACTTTATATTAGATTACACTGCATGACATTACATTACGGCAGCGCTCCCACAATTAGCTCGTGTTCACATGATCACACCTGCCGCGCTCGGCTAAAACTATTCTGAATTGAATGGAGTTGTCTGGGAAATGACCACAGCTAGTGGTCATTTTCTAGCATAAGCACGCTAGCCTTCAGCGAGACGCTGTCGGAGGTCGGCCGAAAAGATGGACGCGGAAGTGGAAAAGTGTGCGGCCGGCTGGCAATGTAAATTTGTCATGGGCTGGCATGACCTTTCATTGTTCATGTCAATCCTTTTCGTCGCATTGCCTGCTGTGCACGGCCTGCCCGCGACTGGATGGTCAGCACACGGCGTCCCGAGAAAATGTTTATAGTTGCATACGAACATTACAACTGTATGCATTCGATAGCGCTGCTGACTAGCTGTCAGCCGGGATTACAACACGCTTTTCGGATAATCGGGGTAATTCTATCCATTTTATTCGATGGACTCCTCGGCAGATTCTCTCGTAATGCTAGATCGACGACTGCAAATTTACGTCATCCGATTTCACAACACTTGGTCGTTTGCGGCAGTTTCGACCGCGCGCACACGATATTGTTGTGTGAGCACTATCGGTCCGCGATGCAAACCATTGATTGGTTGACAAGACTTGTTTTTGTTCAAATCACCCTTGACGACACATTGCCAACTGCGGACGGCTGCCCGCACCATGGCAAATACACGGCAGGCCGGGCAAAAATATGTACAAACGCGCAAGAGGAGCGCGACTGTGTGCATTCCATAGCGCTGCCATAAGGCTATCATCTTCAAGTAGAACCAATAGGTCCTTTTACGGTATCGATTTATTTCGGTCCGCGCACGCGCAACATCTCACTCAATGCTGGCGGGCTGACCAAATCGGCGATTTACAAAGTTGCGGCGTCTTATTTAAAATGATTTTATTCGGGTGCGACAAGTGTGACCGTATGCACCGGACGTCCTTCTTGGAGCACCATGGACCAGCAGTGTAGATTGTTCATTGCAGGACGAGATTTTTCTGTTCAAATCACAAACTGACGGCGCATCCCTAGCTCAGGCTGGTCCACACGGAGCGTGACGGTCAGAGCACGGATGCAGGAAAACAGAACCGCGCGCGGGTAGCGCGACTGTGCGCATTTGATACCACTGCTATACGGCTATGAACTCCCCGTACAACACAGTTGTTCGATTTGGGCATCCAAATAACATCGATCTACCCTCCGACAGCGTCCCACTCGATGCTAGCCGTCAGGATACACAGGCGATTTGCAAAGTTACTTGGTGCAATTTGAATAACTTTTGGTCTTGCGCGGCGGGCGAAACCATGCGCACACGATCTCAGTGTGAGAGTAACATTGGTCGGCAATGTAAATCGCTCGTCATACAACGGTACCTTTTTCATATCACATCATGACGGCGCATTTTAAATATAGCCGGCCTGCCCGTAGCGCGGTGGCCGGAATACGGCGGCAAGGGAAAAATCTTCACAATTCCACGTGAAGAGTGCGATGTGTGCATTCGATAGCGCTACTCTAAGACGAACAGCCTCTGTTTTAATGCGGTTGCCCGATTCAGAGATACATTCTATTCGTTTGACTTTCCAACAGCGTCTGGCATTCCGACCGAACCGACGGTTTACAAAGCTACCACGTCCCATTCACAATGCTTATAGTTGCAAGTGGCGGGCACGACTATCTTTGACGGCGCATTACTAAATGTGGACGGCCTGTTCGTGCCGTGAGGGCCATGATACGGCGTACCGGAAAAATGCATGTAATTGGTCTCGAGGAATGTGGCTGCGCATTCGAAAGAAATGCTGCCATACTATCAGCTGCGTTGTTCGGTAATTCGACTAACCACCCTCCCTCTCCCCGTGTCCCGTCTTTAGGGCATACTTAAAAAACACGTATTCTAGTGAAACCTCATGACCAGTTATGTCTGATAATAGCTTCGGATAGTGCCACTGAAGCACCATCAAAACATGATGATTAAGCTGTCAGCGCGTTGCAACAATACTTCCCTGCAGGCGTGACAGCCGTCATCATGACGACAGCAGAGTATGCTAGAGGGGGAGGGGGGCTGTCAGCTTTTATTGAAGAACGTCAATGCAAAAGAACGCTTGTGATTGGCACAGTAGGCGCAAGGGCCAGTTACCGAGAACCGCATTGGTTGAAGTTTGAACCAGTGCGTCACTACTGACCATGTGATGCTCCGTTTTCAAGAACCAAAGAGCGCTTCGCAAAGGGTCACTATGGTAAATGCCACAGGGGGAAAATCAAAGCTACAGCTTACATCTTTAGATAAGACAGCACTGTCAGCCCTATTTCTGGTAGACTAACAAGCAGATAGGACAGAAAGATGTGTTTACATCCATCTCTCCTTAAGATGTTAATACGTATATCTCTCCTTGCTCCTCGTTCCTCTTCGATGTGTAAGGCTAACAGCTCTGTCTTATCTCTATGCATAATGTTTTCACGAATGTGCTTCACAATTAAGCATAACGTTTCGTTGAATTCG